CGAGGGCCCCATTGGCTAGGCGGTGCCCGGACAGGGTAATCGAGGGCCCCATTGGCTAGGCGGTGCCCGGACAGGGTAACCGAGGGCCCCATTGGCTAGGCGGTGCCCGGACAGGGTAATCGAGGGCCCCATTGGCTAGGCGGTGCCCGGACAGGGTAACCGAGGGCCCCATTGGCTAGGCGATGCTCATACAGGGTAACCGAGGGCCCCATTGGCTAGGCGATGCTCATACAAAGTAACCGAGGGCCCCATTGGCTAAGCGGTGCTCATACAGAGTAACCAAGGGCCCCATTGGCTAGGCGGTGCCCATACAGAGTAACCAAGGGCCCCATTGGCTAGGCGGTGCCCATACAGAGTAACCAAGGGCCCCACTGGCTAGGCGGTGCCCAGACAGGCGACAGCCATGTTCCTGTCACTTTGGGCTCCACTCCTCAGACACAGGCAGGTTTTTAGATGCCTGCTGGTCGACATCTTGGTACCTTTATCTCTAACACATCAGACAGTGCTAGTCACTGGCGGACTGGTGATTCAGACATTCTGGTCGGTTGCCCATGCTCAGCATTATAGTATAGAGTCGTTTTCAAGCCTGAATTTTAGTTCGATTTGCTTCGATTTAGGGCACCACAGCCAAGGAAATTCAAATTTAAATGGCATAAATATAATTTTTAGTACAATAAAGTTTTTTTTTTTATTATTAATTTTGTGCTCTCGGTGACTTGTAGTGTAAATTGTATTATTACAGCAACCTCTGGCCAGTATCACTGGTACTGGTAACTGTACCCTGAATCCAGCGATCAGTCCACCTGACACGAGCTTGACCATTGTTACTGGTTCAGCTGTAAAACTCTGAGGAGTCAGCTGCAAATATTCCCTCATTAGCATGGAGATTAAACCCATTTCCTTAAGCAGGTTATTTCCTAAATTGCTCTGTTGTCTGAAAGTGGCTTTTTTATATAAACACCCCCCCCCCCAATTAGTTTAGCTCTCATCTATTGCTGTGTGCGTCTCGGAATGAGAGGCTACCGGTGAGATGCTGCTCCTGGGCCTCGTGCTTCAATCAGGCCCGAGCGGTTAGTCACCACTGTTCTATTAGCCGTTGTGCGGCGTCCCCGCGGCGTGTCGAGGGGCTCACCACGGGAACCCCAATAGCAGCCACCCTGGCAGGTTTCGCTAATTTATCCGTCTCCCCACCACACAATTATTTTTCCATCTGGGGCTGCCAAACGGCTGAGTTACGGGGCCGCAAAGCGTGCCCCCGATGGGCTCTCACGTCGCCGCTGTACGGGTGCCTTAGTCTGAGCGACGACTCGCAATGTGGCAGCCCGTGTCACATTATCCCAGCGGGCTCGCTGGTGGTCTAATGACGGCTGACGATGGATGTGCCTCTATACAGCCAGACTCTGTGTGAGCCTGTCAGAGCATCTGGAGGGAGGGAGGGAGGGACCCCACGTCTGGTTCACTATAGTTGACTTGTTGGATGCAGATTCTGCAAGGTATGTTCACTGGTGTCTACTTCCAGTCTTCAGAGCTCCTGGTCTATGCTTATGACAGGTGCAATCCAGGTTTCTGCTACTCATACTACAGGACACCAGCTTAAATTCTTAATGCAAATTTCCCCATAACGATGAATCGGGAAAACACACACAGCAATTCAAAATGTGCCCAAACATACAGAAGGTAGTTCCTTCTCTGGTGGAGTGGACCTACATGGGTAACCCTAAGAAGAAGCATGCTTATTACCAGTTACACTCTGAGATGAAATGTACAGTCAGCTCCATCTGATTCCAGTCCTGATCCACCAGCAACAGTTGCTATATATTTGCTTTACTATAAATTACAAATTGCTTTCTTTGAAGAGAATTGCCTTTCCTGTCAAATACAGGAGTTAAAGAAGATAATAGCATCATTGTCACCAAGCTAGTTTTTTTTTCTTTTTTACTGGGGGGAATGGAAGTGTGGGTAACAGTTTTTAATCAAAGCTTCATAAATTAGGAAACACCCATCACTGAAAAGTGTCTTTCGCTTATCAGATAATGCATAAATTTTACTGGAGCAGAAGCGCCACTGGGGTTCAGATCGTCATCAACACTTCTGTTCCCTTTTATATCGCCCCCCCCCCCTTGCCACAAGAGTGCTTCTCATCCCTGTTGATTGGTTCTGTTGAGTCCCACCCATAACTTCGCCCGCCCCCTGTCCCAGCTATTACTGTTATTATTATCCTGAACTAACTCTTGTGGAGGAGAGAGGTCACAGTGTCAGCAATTGAGACCATAAGTCTCTGGGCAAGCCTTGTGTCTCCATGGTAGAAATATCATAGATGTGTTTAATCTAAGTGGCACCGGAGGGCATCATTCACCACAGGCCAAAGGGTCCCACACTCCAGCTTTTTCTTATCGTGAACCACTGACCCCTGACTTACAGCTCATTCTGTGTATCACTTTGCACTCTCTCCATCGAGAATTGAGTGTAAATCCACAATGGCAGCAGCATCCCTCATAATCCCTCTATTCCTGCTGCTACTGGGACGTGCATTACGATTCTGCTGAATGGCGCACTGGGCTTTTCGTTTGACGTTTTATGTGTAGCAGAACTACCTAATCAATCAAACCTGATACATGATGCTCATTTAGTGCAATGTCAGATTGGATTGAGCAGCACTAAGAAATGCAAGTTAACATGGACACGTCGACGATAGAAATCCCACAGCAACAATTCCCCAGTATGGCTGTGGCCTGTGAGCAATAAGCAGAGACCTGGACCTGAAATAGTTAAAATTCCACACAACTGCCTTTACATGCACTGTGATAAGAGGTAGAAGATGAGAGCTTGGCTCAGGGGGACCTCAATCTCAGACACAGAACTATGCTGGTATTTCCTTCCTTCCATCCATCCCTCCATCCACAGGGAGGCATCCTAGGCAGATACCTGAAACACCTCAGCTGGTTCCTTTTAACAATACTGACAACAGCAAAATATAATTTCATGCCTATAATCATGTTAAAATTACTTGTTTTTTCAGTAGTGTTTCTTTCCCCAACAGCATCATATGAAAATCTGAAATTAGCTAGAAACTAAACCCAGACACTTAATTTTCCTGGGGTGAAAGTGTATATTGCAGAAAAGTCAGACTTGCTAAAGAGGTCATGCATGTGAGGAAGTTGGAGGATTTAACTTTAGTGCAAGAAGAATTTCCTAGAGGAATGAAAATTAAAGTTGAGAGCCATCGAGAACGGCGTTTTTTTTAATACTTCTAAAATAAATATATTTCTTCACACAAATCCCAAGAACACAATGCCTTAAAAGCAACACGATGTAGTAAATTAGGTATATTCCATTTTGAAAGAAGCAGCTAGCGCGATGTGGAGGAGCAGAGTTTGGTGAGATATTCCACATGCTGTTTCTCAAAGGAGTCAATGGTATTCCCTAGAACAGGGTTCTTCAAATCTGGACCTCGATTCCAAATCCAGGCC